GTAGGGAACGGTACCTGCTGCTGGTGCCTGTTAAGTGCAGTTTCTCCGTCCCAAATTGTTCCCAGATTCTAGACGCAGCAGATGGGTTCCTGCGCGCTGTGCTTGCTGTGCAGCAGCACACCCCAAACATCACCAGCTGTTTTGTTATCTTGGTGTGTTACAGGACAAGTGTTGGATAACCGGAGTCGGGCTCCTTGGAGTTTGTCATCTATAACAGATTTCTTCTGGTCGATAGCAGATTTTGTGGTTCTGTTGTAAGTAAAAATTCATTCCTTTGCTGGGCTTTATTTTTAGATTTGCCACAAGTAGAAGCTACCCAGTGCTATCATTAACACAACAATAAAAATGTGAGATTTACTCTTCAGCATTCCTTGTCTACTGTCCCCAAACATACATGAACACTTTACTGTGACTACGTGGCTGTGGTTTTTAAGCACAATAGCATACATAATAAAATGAAAAGTGTGTGAAAAGTGATGCTAACTTACTGGCACTTAAAATTAGTTTTCCTACAATTCTTCCATTTTATTACAGAAAAAAAACACATATACTTTGTTAAACAGCTGTTTTCTAATTCTATTCTCCAAATAATATCTTCATTATTGGATCAGCCATTGCTGTGTGTCAGCTATTATTTGTCACCAGTAGAAACTGGTGACAACAGACTCTGGCTAAGTAAAAATAACAGCAGAGCAGTAATCACAAATCTATGGCCCCAGATCAGAGCCCATTAGAAAAAAAAAGTTGTTTCAGTGTATTCAGCAGTCCATTATTTCAGTTCCAGGTTTATATTTCATGCATCTATTGCATATTTATGAGAAAATTAGGTTTTATAGTTTGAGCCCCACTGTGATTTGGAATTACTTCAGATTTTATCTTCATACATAGGAGAAAAAACTGCCAAGGTTTATGAAACAACAATCATCTTGACAAGATACGCTGTTCATTCCTGAACACTGCTTATTGTTTTTCAGGCCATTTCTTATCTTGCAATCCAAAAATTCAGAAACTATATCTAGCAATCAGTTCATCTAAGTCCTGCTTTATTTTTCAGTTTCCAGAGCATTATTCAACCAGATTTGAGAAGAAGAGGCTACACATCTTCCTCCAGTTCAGGATACAATGATGGAAGAGGGTATATTTTCATATTCACAGTAGTTCTGATTTTTTTTCCTTTTTTAGGAAAATGACAATCTATTCAGACTACAGTTGTGATTTGCATTGAAGTAGGTCATGTAAGAAGACTGAAATGCTGTTTATCTGCAGTATTTTGTCTGAAGCTCATTGATAATGCACAGCTTTGCACAGCTGGAACAGTAGTATAGTCTTTAACTCACTGAAACTATTTTTCAGACCTGCCTAATAGACAATACACATCTTGAATTTCTTCTTTTGCTAGATTGACTTATACTCAGCATTTGATTTACATTAAATCGTTCATTTCATTTATTAGATACTTTTTGTAGGACTGAGTAAGAGCCTCAGCAGTAGCTTTCTCTTGTGTGATGTGAGTAAATGAGAACAGTTTGCATAAGAGACTTTTCGTTGATTTTTTTTTTTTTTACAACTTTTCCCATGAAACCCAAACTATTCCAGAGGTTCTAGCTTTCTAATTACTGTCATTAAGAGACAGTGTTACTGTATTTCTAGTTCAAGAATTTAATGCTGGTTGAATTTATGTTATTTTCATTGCATTTTTTTCAGGCCTCCAGCTCATCCTCGCCGTAGGATGGGTCGGATAAATCACGGGGGTCGGGGCCCCAGTCCACCACCAATGGCTGGAGGTGGATGAGGAAGGTAATTCCAAATCTGCCATATCCTGCTTTGAGTTTGTTTTTTTTTTAAATCACAGTAATAATTAATAACTGAGAGCTAAAGTAGAATGGAGTGTTTTGTCCTCCTTTTGCAAAAGTTACTAGAACAGGAAGAGAATCGAAGCGGTTAGATACTTTCAGTATAGCGATGGGGGAAGCGGGTATACAAAGTGTAGAAAAAATTTTTTAACACAGCTGATAAAAAAATATCTATAACTTTTTATTGTCTGCTGATTGAAAGTCCTTTCCAGATCAGTAGTGACTGCAACTGTTTGCATTTTACCAGTTATCACATGACAGTGTGAGGTTTATTGTTTAAAGTTGATACTTCTTAATAGAGAAGATGGAAAATTAATAAAGTTGTTAAAAGACTGTTAGGGAAAATAGGTTTTTCATTGTTACAATGATATAATATACAAATCTTGAATTCTAATATAGCACAAAAAATAGATTTGCTTAAAAAGGGGGGAAAAAAAAAAACAACATTAAAAAAGCCCTGGTCTGTCTGAACTTTTAGTTGTATTAATTAGTTTGGTTAGTGGGAGTTTCATTCAAACCAAATGTATCCATTATGTGGTTTAATTTACTTTGACTTAAGCAATAAATCTTTTTTTTTTTCCACTCATCACTCCCCATTGTTGCCACAATAAAAGTTACAAGAGAAGCACCGCATACCTGTAAATCCTGTAGGAAGAAGTTTGTATTGCAAAAAGCACATACACCAATGCTTCAGTTCCCTAGAAGACAAATAAGCTTTTTCCCCTCTTTTTTTTTTTCTTCATTTGGATAATTTTGGAGGGTTTTTTTCACTTTTTGACTAGACATGCTACCAGCAGAGGCAGTAGGAAGGGCTTTTGGGGAATAATGGCAACATGTAATCTCAGGAATAGAAGTTTGTAAACCTTTAGCATGTCTCATTTAGCTAAATTTAAATTACTTGTATAATTTTCTCTCACAAAGAAGGCCTTGTTGTCTTCTAAAGGTACTGTAATTTATCTTTTAGGTAAACACCTGCTGAAGAGGCAGACAAAAACATACACATTTGCAAGACAAAAAGGAAGAAGAGTTAAGCGGTGGACCAAATGAATGTGAATGTCATGAATGTGTATGTCTAACTGGGAACTGTTCTGTGATGCAAGCAGACTAATGACGTTGTACTGGGAACTCCTTCTTCAAGGATCCAGTGTAACTGAATTGCAGTTCTCTTAAATCCATGTTTACTGTCTAAAGTCTTTGTATAGTTTCTGAACACTTTACTGTAGCTACAAAGTAATAACTAAATTATATCTGGCTTGTCACAAGGCTGACTGTCTCATGAATCTTTGAAAAAAAAAAAAATCTCTGAAGTACCTTTTTTTTTTTTTTGTCCAAATGAGGAACATGTTTATAATTTGATACAGAAGGTCCTTCTGCTCAAATTTAAAGCAGTGCTTCCTAATAGATTTTGTATTTATTTTTGTCAGTACTAACATCCTGTAGGTTGCTGGTTTCACGGTATTAGCAGTACTCTAAAAATACCTTTAAAACACAACTTACAAATTACTTTGTTTTACAATTCTTGCCTTTTACATACTTGCTTCCTTAATGCCCATAATGCAGTTTAACACATGCCTGTTTTATAAGCACCTATTGAAATAGCTTCCTTCTCTGTTATAAACTTACTCAAACGTATAAGTCTATTTGCTATACAAATTTTGAGAAGATGTTTTTTCCCATTAAAATCAAGCTTTGTTTTTATCCCATGAAGAAAAAGGTAGTGAACGCAAATACTTAGTGCAAACATAGAAGAGTTATTTTGTTTCAAAGAGTTGCTACCTTTTAAGTAATTTACCCCAATTCATAATGGAGTTTCTTATGAATGTTTTTGGGTTTCATTTGGGATTTTTTTGTTCAGGTGGAGAAGGCTGCATGTGTCTGAGAAAAGATTAGCTACAAGATGCTGCAGCAAATTTAGTTAAACCTCTCTAATACTCTCTTTAACAGGAAATTACACCATCCTTGGTTAACCTAAGCTTGTACCGATGAGGTTTTGCTAGCTAGTGATGGGGAAATCACCTGCTCCCATGGCTCCCGCTGCTGCTGCTGCTGCACGTACCCAACACGAAGTTACCGGCTTTTAAACTTGCTTACACAGCAGCCTTCAGCCTAATAAACATTTTCCTTGGCCCCACTCGAACGCCGCGTCTCCACAGCTGATAACGGAGC